GGGGTGCCCTCCCCGCTCAGCTCCCCACCAGCACTCCCACTTCACCCAAGGGCTCCCCAACACACGGGTGAGGGCGAAGGGCAGGAGGAAGCGCGCACGTGGCCGTGTCCAGCCCGCCAGCTAGGGACTGCCGCCGTCTCGCCGTCCGGCTCCGTGCTGCTGGGGCGCAGAGGCTGTGTGACCCCGCGGGGCGCGCCTCTGAGCCAGCGATGGGGCCCCCAGCACAGTGGCTGCAGCTTCGCACCGGCCCGGCGCAGCCTGCTGGCGTGTGGCTCTCACACAGCTGCCCGGCAGCAGCTCCCAGGGAGGACACGGCCCCCGCGCCCAGGGGAGGGTGCCGTTACCAGCACCCTCTTCTCCCTGAATGTGGGCCTCACCCCAAATGGCAGGGAGCCAGCCGGGGGGAGCCCACAGCTGCGGCGGCTTCAGCGGAGGCGGGCAGCGGCCTGGCAGGAAGCCGGGGCGATGTGCGCAGTGCAGGGCCTGCTTGGGAGTGGACACCCCGGCTGGCCCTCTGCTCCCGTGTTGCCAGCTGCCCTGGCGGGGGACGGCCAGGCCGCCTGGGAAGCAGGGAGGGACCCGCCTGCTCCGCCTGGGGCCGGACTGCCCGGAAGCGGGAGCCCCGCCTTGGGTCGCATGTGCTGTCAGAGCGGGGCCTGGGCGTCCCCACACCAGGCCCGGCTCCCCAGGACGCGTCGCCTCCTGCCGGCGACAGGACCCCAGAGCCTTGGAACTGACAGCCTGCAGAGGGGCCAGGGGCCGCCACAGCCACCGTCAGGCTGGCCGCCCCGGGCCACCTCCCGCCGCCCGCGGCCAGCCCGGGGATCCAGACATCGGCTGATGGGGGCGGGCCCACCTCTTCTCTCCCCACGCCCCATTAAAGCCTCCTTTGCCTCCACCCAGGCTCCATCCCCCAGGTCAGTGGGCCCCGCCCAGAGCAGCACAGTCCCCAGCAGGGGCGCCCTGCCCTTGGGTGACCACCAGAGCGTGAGGTCCTTCAGGCCTGGGGTCCCCCAGAAGTAAGCTACCCACGGGGGGAGAGACTGCTGGGGGGCCAGACGCCCACCTGGCAGCTGTGGGCCCCCGGGCAGGACAGGGGCCTTGGAGACTAATTGGGGGGTCAGAGATGGCCTCTGGGGTCCCCGAGGACAGCGCGAGGAGCTGGGTCTCCGGCGAGAAGGCGGCAGGGCCCGGCCGGGCCCCCGGCAGGCCTCAGGCCCCTGGCGCGGTGGGGCCGGCTCCCC